CCCTGAGATGAGACCCCTGTTGCCATGTCTATATTTGTGTGACTGCCTTGGAAATCTTTACAGGTCTATTTCATAGAGCAATATGTATTTCCATCCCATTCTCCTTTCCCAGAAAAATTCCAGTGAATTAGGTTAATAAGTCAGCAAATGGAAGATTTTAGTGGAAGAATGGGATGGTGAGCAAGGGGTCTGATGGAGATGAGACACAACTCTTACATTTACTGAGAAATTCAATCAAGGACATGGAAAAAGTTTTTCTAGACACAACTGTTGAGGCATGGGGAGGGCTGATATAAATGCCAGGGCATCCTGCAAATTAGAACTTGTTAGATAAGTCCCAACAGGTGATTTGTAATGAGCAGAAACTGGTGAGTGTCCAATGAAAGGGAGCAACAGGCAGTATCTGGCAGCAGGGGACAGTGGAACACACACAGTTTTACCATAAGGGTAAAGATCAGTCTGAGAAGCAGCATCCCTTTTCTAAAAATAAAATGGAAAACATTAAATTATAATAATATAAAATAAAAGCCACTCGAGCCTGCACTTCTCCTTTCCAGCACCTCCAAAGTGGCTCTCAAGTGTCCAGGGCACTGAGTGGGGGGCCTGCAAAACTAAAAATATTGCAGATGGCAGCAAGCAAACCCATTCCATTATTTCCTATGTTAGCTGTTCCCTACTTGCTAAGCATTGATCTTACTCCCCCCACATTTGAACCAAGGCAATAAACCCTTGTTGTCCTTCAAAAGTTATTAGGGAGCAACAGGTGAAAAGAATTTCTGGGCAGAAAAGCCATGGAAGAGATAAGAAGTCACACAGCAAGGGCAAGAACAAAGCTAGGAGGGCAGCAAGGTGGGGTACTGAAACTGCTTCCCAGGTTTGGGCAATTCAGATTTTAATGAAAAACTGGGGTTTTTTTTTGTTTTTATGTGGGAAAAGGACTAATGAAAAGGTCAGTTGAGCAGTAGCATGATGGCAAGGTGACAGAAACAAACTTGGAATCAGAGCAGGGAGAAGCACAAGAAGGACTCCAGCATCTCGTGCAGCATTTAGAGAGATTTAATAAAACCAGTTCATTCTGGAGTCCAACTCCCAACCCTGGCTGCAGCAAGAGCAAACAACTGTGTGTTAGAAAAATACTCAGACTCTAATGCTCTGTTTACTGAGGTCTCACTCTCCTCTCAGCCACCATCTTTTAAAAAAGGTTTTCAACACTAAATTAAGTTCCTTCAATAATTTATCACAACACAAAGCCCTGACGTTGCCAGCCGCTCTTCTGATTTAAAGAGGCACAAGCATTTCCCCAGGCATTACTACTTCTTTCTGATGCCTGAGGACATCATTCACCACAGCAAGTCACACCATTGCAAGTGGGAAATACAGGATGAAGGTTTTGGATAGTCAGGAAGATAATTGTCTTCTGAAACTTCTCCCGATACAGATACTCACTGTTTTACTGTTCCTGTGAACTACCAGTGCACAAAATACACCCCAGGGATTTGGGGGAGTTAGAGGACAGATGGGTTCTCTAACTGAGCAAATAACCACACAGGAGCCTCCAGAGATGGAGACAGAAGTGGGAAATAGCATAAATTCTCTTGAAAGGAAGATACTGTTACATCCAGAAATCTGTTACTGCAGCTCAAGGGCCACTGGAGTTGCAGTGACAGCCCAAAGACCACAATTTCTTCTTCACCCCATGCACAACAAACACATTGAAAATAATAATAATCAAGAAAATAAAGACCTGTATTTAATTCTCTACTATGAGAGGAGGACACTCTCTGGCCAGGGCTTTCTGAAAATACAGTTTAGAAAGTGCTAAAATGAGCTGCCACTTTCATCCTACTATATGGGAAAGATCTTTGCTAAAGCCATTTAATATATTTGTGCAGGTTTAACCCGGCCCAGGTTGCCCAGGGAAGCTGTGGCTGCCCCATCCCTGGCAGTGTTGAAGGGCAGGTTGGATGGGGCTTGGAGCAGCCTGGGCTGGTGGGAGGTGTCCCTGCCCATGCAGGGGGTTGGGACTGGATGGGCTTTAAGGTCCCTTCCAACCCAAACCCATCTGTGATTCTAAATCAAAGTGTAGTATCTGTATTTCCAACACTTTTTTTACTCCCAGCAATGATATTCATACATGGATAGATAAAATACATACAAGCCTTGTTGCAGCTTCAGCCTGAGCTCATCTCCCAAGTTCTTCCTCTCTTGCCACCACCCAGGAGACTTCAGGCTGCTGAGTTGTCAGGAATCTCCTCTGCCTACACACTCCCCAGAAGTCCCAGCTCTTGGACCTCAAGAGTTGCCCAGTCTGATCAAAGCATGACAAACCAAACTGTCAATAACATTCCTTTCCAAATCCATCTCCTGCTCACCAAGGTGGGCTCCATCACCACCTCTCCAAAATATCAGCCCCTTGCCATGTGCCAATGCTTTTTTGCTCCATGGTCTGGAGATCCTCCTGGATACCAAAATAGGCTGGAACACCAAAACAACAGCTCTGTCTAAACATACTATGAAACAGTCAGGAGACAATGCCTCAAACTGTTCCTCTGTTGGACTGGGCTATGGGAAACACAATTTCTGCAGGAGAAAGAACCTTTACTGCTAAGGAAAAGATAAAGAACCTCTTCCATTCCTAAAGATTTGCTCTTCTGTCCTAGTTTCATCCCCCATTGTTCTCTGTAAGCCTGTCCAGTGCAGACTAACCATGCTCTCCGCCTGATGGGACAGAGGGCTGGCTGCTCCCAAACCAACACCTCTGAGTAGGACACAGGGTGCTCCAGGCAGGGGCCCTTGTGCAAGGCTCAGCTGTGTGATGCCATCAAGGCAGCACTGCCACAGGATCAGTCACAGACTGGTTTGGGTTGGAAGGGACCTTAAAGATCATCCAGTTCCATTCCCTCTTCATGGGCAGGGGTCTCATCAGACAAGGCTGCTCCAAGCCCCATCCAACCTGCCCTTCAACACTGTCAGGGATGGGGCAGCCACAGCTTCCCTAGGCAACCTGGGCCAGGCTCTCACCACCCTCACAGCAAAGAATTTCCTCCTCATATCCAACCTAAATCTCCCCTCTTGCAGTTTTAAGCCTTTCCCCCTCATCCCCTCACTACAAGCCCTTGTCAGAAGTCCCTCCCCAGCTTTCCTGTATGCACATAATGCCATTATTAGCCAGTGTTTATATGGGAGCCACAAAGTTGCACTGAGTTCTTTCCCTTTGCTTATTTGAATAATTTGCTTATTTGAATAATTACTTTCCCATTGACAGAAACAATTCTTGTTAATACTCTTACAAAATGTTTTCTTTCCAATTGAGAAAACATCACCAAAAAATAAAAGCCTACCCCAGAACATCTCTGATGGTGACTAGACTTTAATTCCCTGAGGCTATACTGGAAATAGCACATCTGCTGCCTTGATGGCAGGAAGGCAGGGGAGCAGTGGAGCAGCTGGGAGCCTCCAGCACTGCCCTGAGATGATGTGGCTCCTCACTCCACCACTTGTTTTGGCCCTGCCCCTGTGCAACAAGACACTGAGAATAACACGTGCCATCTGGTGCCAGCACAGAACCAGACCCACCTTCCTCACCCCAGCTGGTGAGGATCCATTGCAGGATCCCTGTTTCCAGGGGAGAGCAGGGAGATGAGCTGCCTGTTCCTCCTGCTCTGTGCTTAGCAAATGCTGCAACTCGTGGTTTATACGGTCTGGACAAAACATCTTTTCATTGTTACCCTACATCCTACAGAGGTAGGAAAGCAGAATATCCAACTCCATAGCATGTCCTTAGCTATTGCTAGGCAAGTCCTGGGGAACTATGAAAAACGAGTCAAAGATAAAGAAAATACACTGAAAAAAGTCCATTTCATCTTCAGCTCTCGGGTGCAACTGCATTTCACACGCAGAGCAGGAACATCCTAGAGGTTTAGCAAGTTGCTGAACACTCCTGTCTCACCCAGCACTGAGAAAGACTTACTCATCAGCCATTTATCAAGCTTCTGGATGATTTACATGACAGTATTTTCACACTGTTCAATTTACATCAAGGTACAGCCTCCCTGAGCCCGGGAGCAAAGTGCAGGTCCTTCAGGTTTGCAGCCTCCCCAGCTTGACACCTCTCCCTGGCTGCCAGAAATTTGGCCTTCAAATAGCCTGGCTTCTTTTTGGAAGAAGGCTGATTGAGGAGAGACTGATCATGGTATCACAGCACCAAAGAGAAGCCCAGTAGCTTCCCCATAGGTTAGGATGAAGTGGTTTTGACCATCAAGATGAGCAGATGCCCCAAATCCCTGCCTACAGCACAAGCTTTATGATTCCCATTCCTATTCCTCCCTATGAAAACCAAACATTTTAACAATCACATCCTGTTGATGATGGATTTAGTTTCTCTTCTTTGAGTTCAAAGTCATCCCCAAAGGAAGATGTTTATAGAAAACAGGTCATTCATGTACAATTCCCACCTCCAACAAACTTACATGGACAGAAGACAAACCCCCCTGCTGCCAACCCCATCAAGACCACCATGATTGTGCTCTTAACCATACAGGAAAAGCAGTCCAGAGTTGCAAAAGGTCAACATTTTGACCTCCAAATGCTTGGTCAAGGAAAACAGTGCAAAGAGAGGCCGTTTCCTTGGTGTCTGCAAACATGGGAAGATCCACACTTGGCCTCTCAACCACAGAACAAACCTTATTTCCCCATTATGGTGCAGCCTTGATTCCACAAAACAAGTGCCAACACCCGACTCCAGAAGCATAAACCCCCTCCCAAACTCCTTCCAAATGACTTCGGAAGGCACCAGAAATCCTTGAAAAATTATCTCAGAACAGGAATCATGGAATGCCAGGCTGGAGAGGGACCTCAAGGAGCACCTGGTCCAACTTCTCTCGGTAAAAACATGGTCTAGACAAAATGGCCCAGCAGCCTGTCCAGCTGAATCTCAGAAGCATCCCACATTGGGGAATGTTGTTGCTCTCAACAGGAGCTGCATAGTAAGGAGCACTTACCCTTGAAGGGCTTTTTCTCCAAACCAATCTCCCTTCCCTAGAGTACGGAGAAACACAGGATCTTCACTGGGGGAATCTTCACGAGTCACATTCACCTGTTGAAAAGCCAAAACCCCCCCCAAGCATTTAGAAAAACTTTGAGTTATAAATAAAACCTGTCTGTTCAGAGAGGGATTTTTCATCTCCTGGATCTCTCAGGAAAAGCTCCAACCCATATTCCCTCTGGGAACTACATCATTCTCCACAGCCCTGCACTCTTCCCTCAGCACCACCAACCAACCACCCAAGAAAATGAGCAGGTATTTTCCCATAAGGTACCTACTGAACTTGCACTACTTGTGGGTTTTTGGAGGCTTTCATTCCATTTTTTAGACCTGGCTGCACGAGTCTCTGCATGGAGGCACCAGCAGAAATTGGTTCCAAACATTTTCCATGTCTCAGGCAGCCACATGGCACAGGTTGCTTTGTTCTGCACCATTTCTTGTGGTGCTTAATTCATTTCAGGGGGAAAAAAAAAACCAAAAAGAATCTCTGTTTAGACATAATTGAACCAGTTTGGAGCATTATGGGATGAAGGATGCCTCGTCTCCCTTTCACTGTCTCCCAGATTCAAGAAGGAGGTATCTCCAGCTGGAGCAAAAATCAAATATTTTCACAGAAGTTGAAAGACAAAAAACCCCACTACCAAAGCCAAACAGTTTCTTTTTCAGTTTTGTAGTAAAAAAGAAGAGAAGTCACTTTCTTCCCACTCTAACACCATTGGTAGTGTAACAGTGCCAGTCCAAGCTGAAGCTGGCTCAACAGAAGGTGACTTCACATCTGTGAGCAATGATTTCCTATCACCGGGGGGTCCTTTTTAGTTCCTGAAGCCCTTGCAGAAGAAAAATAGGACTTGATCACCTGAACACCCCTGGGTCTGGTTTCCCTTGCCAGTGGGGGGATATAAATCCCAGCTGCCATGAAATGACAGAGCTCTGACACCCTGCTGGGTGCTGAGGGTGGCATGACACACCAAGGATGACAACAGCTCCATGGAAAATCAATGATATTGATGTCATGGCCCTTTGTGAGCAAGATTTCTTCCTTCTCAGCTGGTACCAGAGGTAACTCACACTTCTTATGGCTCGAGAAGGCAGTGGAAACACAACCCCCTGCTAACAATGCCGATGGAGATCACCTCTCCCAACCTTGACCCTGGCCCAGGCTGCCCAGGGAAGCTGTGGCTGCCCCATCCCTGGAAGTGTTGAAGGGCAGGTTGGATGGGGCTTGGAGCAGCCTGGGCTGCTGGGAGGTGTCCCTGCCCATGCAGGGGGGTTGGAACTGGCTGATCTTGAAGGTCCCTTCCAACTCAAACCATTCTATGATTCACATCTCTAAATCCAGTTGTCCAGGCTCTGTCTCTGGGTCAGTGGACAGGCATTTCCAAAGGCTGAGTTGTCCAAAATTGGGATGAGTAGCTCTCTGGAGGTCCCTCACATCCATGGGAAAATCTCTCATCTGCTTCTCCTTTTCAGGCCATTGAGTTTGAATCACAGCTTTTGCAGAAGCAAAGTCACAAAGCTGAGGTCTGGGATGTCAGACACATCCTTTCAGATTTAATGAAGTTCCAGTTTAATTTCACCATTAAATTCACAACTGTGGCCCATGCTTCCTCCCATCTCCTTTCCAGGTGATGAAACCAGTGGGTTTGGGCCATTAATGAGCTCCCAATCTGCACCACCTACTATCTAACCTCTCCAGTGACTCATGGAAGATCAGATGAGGGTAGGGATAAGCCAGATGATTTATAGCTGATGGGAAAAAACCCAAATTACTAACTTGGACAAAGGGAAGTTTAATATACATTTAAGCTCTTTCTCCATGGTCTCCACTGATACTAAGCCAAGGGAGTGTGATTTCTACATGGTTCATGTAGAACCATAGTTCAAAGACATGAGCCATTTGAGTAGCCACGGTAACAATGAAGAACTGGCACCAGCTGGCATTAAACTGGTGCAATCCCATGGTTTTTTAAGGGACAAACCATGTGCAATAGCACAGTGTGACACATGGTGCCTCTGGGCAAGGCAGGGACCCAGCAGGCACAAGGCTTGGATAAGTTGGTTGGACTCTGGGATCTTGGAGGGCTTTTCTAATCACCATGATTCTGACACTGAGCTGTTCTCATCTGACACATTATCCATCAGGTTGCTGTGTGCAGGGTGTTCCAAACATACTTTTTGGTTTCTATTCACTTGACCTTGAGGAAACACACTCTAATACATAGACTAAATGAGCTGAGGCAGCAGGTGTGGTGGGTGGAGTTGAGGAAGAAAAAGGGGAAAAGAGTTTTGCTCCTCCAAGAAACATCCATGGGCTGAAGGAACATGGAGCCAAAGTCTTTCTAAGTGTTTCTGAGAGAAGTGCTGAGCTCAGAAATGTGAACACTCATCTCTCTTCACTTGCCTCTCACTCAGACATTAGAAGCAAGGCAGGTTTTTCCAAGTAGCTCTCTTACTGAGAACATCCATGTGATGCTGCTGGAGGCAGGAAGCAACATGAGGTCCCAGGGACATGAGTTGCAGCCAGGACTTTTCCTGGCTTATTAAGCTGCCTGGGTGGGCTTTTAGCATGGGACATTCTGTGCTCCCCCTCCAGAAAGTCCCAGGCACCAGAAATTGCTGTTTGAACTCTGTATTTCCTTGCTGTTTGTTCCATGCTGCACTGCTGAGGCTCTGCCCCTCCCACCCTGAGCTGTGTCCTTGCCATAGTTTAGTCCTGGCACCCACTCTGTAGCTCTCATGTCCCAGCACAGGCATGAAAATTAAACACTCTCCAGCTCTGTGCATCTTCTATCAGCCACTGACACCTCTTCTGCAAATCAGGAAGCTTGAAAGAGAAAACTGGGCAGGATTTAACTGTCCCTGGGGGAATTTCTCTTACGCCACCAGGACCCAGGGAATTTCTCAACAATTCCATGTGTGCTTTTTTTATTTTAGCTCCCTTTCTCTGGCTGACAGATGTAAGATCAAGTAGCAAAGCCAAGGAGCATCTCAAGCAGGACTACAGGGCTTTGGAGCAACGGGTGTTTTTCTCCTCCATCCTGCAGGTGAGGTGGAAGGGCTTCAGGAGGGCTGGATGGACCATGCAGGCCAACAATTGGTTGCTCAGCTGGTGTCAACAAGAGGGATTTGGTTATTCTAACCAAGAGACTCTCTTTGGAGACTGAGGTCTTCTAGGAAGGGGTGAGATCTACCTGACCAAGTGGGATAAAAGCATCACTGCCAGCAGTGATGGCCAACATGGCAAGGAAGGCTTCAAACACTTGACAGGGGAGCAAGTCACACTCTCCCTTTATTTTTGCCCATTAAAAAGGGGGGGAAAAACCAACAAAGGGGCTTTGAATGGTTGCCCTTAATCTGGGAGAAGAGGAACAACTAGTTCTGAGTGGAGGGAAGCAAAAGGGAGTGAGGGAGCACTATCAGACTTGGCTTTCTGCAGTCCATGGTTATCTTCATTGCAGAGATTTGTCCATGACCATCTTACTCATCTGAAAAAAAGACCTTTTCTGCTTTTCTGACATGGCTCCCAGAGACAAACTGTGGAAGATGCTGGTGAAAATCTAGTTTGAGGACTCTAGAGCTGAGAGCTGCCTCAGGAAACAGCCCAACAGCAGGTGCAACCCCCACACCCTTCCCCTCCAGATGCCAGGGGGTTTTGCTTCCCTCAGTTACTCAAGGCCAACATCAACCTGTGCCTTGGTGCAAACATCATGGCCCAGCAGGCTGGGGTTGGCCCATTTTCAAGCATATTTATCCACCTGTGGTTCCTCTCAATGGATCACATCTCATCTCCTGTGAATCCCTCTTGAGCATCTCCATCTTGCTATGTGAAAAGAGGCCACATGTTTCCCAAGTGGAATAGCCAGCTAAAAAAATTAAAAATAATGGAAGGAAACACTCTTATCTATAAAATCCCATCAGGAGTTTACAGGAAATGTGGTCAAAAAGCATATTTCCCCAGTGAGGAGTGGAACAGAAAGTTAGCCCTTGTTTTCTTTCCCAAGGACAGAGCTCAGGCTCCTCTGGCTTCCTAATATTTCATTTGGAGAAGCTGAGAAGCAAGAGCCATGGGAACAAAGCCTGGAAATCAGCCCTGGAAGAGGGATACTATGCAAAGAAAATGCTGAGTACTGCAGGGTATTCTGTTTTGTTTTTTTTTTTTTAAATGAGCCTTTTGGTCATTTACTAAGAGACCCAACAACTGTTTTCAAACCCCCATGTGTTCACTGTGAGCACATGAGTAAAACAGCAGGAGAACTATTTCCTCCCCCCCCCCTTCTGGCCACTCTTCCCAGCTGATCCAGCTCCAAGAAGTTTAATTAAATGTCAAGTGTTGCATCATGGGAGCCTGAGGCAGGGGAGAGACAAAACCCTGCCTGGCTCTGGAGAGCTCATCCCACCATCCCCAACCATCCCATGTGTCTCTGAGGGTGACAACTCACCTTCCCTTTGCTGATGATGAAGAAAGTGTCCCCTCGAGCACCCTGTCGTATAATATACTCTCCACTTTCATAGTGTGTCTGTAAAAAAAACATACAATTAAGATGAACAAACAGCAGAGACTGTTTTTTAACAGATAGTTTGGCAAGACAACACTTACGGAAACATAAGCCTGGACCAATTTTATCCCAGGCTGGCAGTGGCAGTGATTTAAAAAATTGTCCTGTGTCAAGACACATCATAATTAAAATGGAACTGTTTACGGCTTGGCCATTTTTCTTCTTCCTCTGCTACTTGCCAGCGTTTGCCCAGATAAATTATCCTCCCAGCCTCAAGCCATTTACACTCAGTGAAGGAGACAAAGGAATTTGCAGTGGCCAAGACAGTGCACAAAATAAATTGCAATAATGTGTCTGTTGTAAAAATAGTTCTTTCCCATTCTTTTTTTTTTGGTTGGTTTTGGTCTTTTTCCAGCTTTGAACAAACAATTTTTGCTCTTTTGCTGTTATAGTAATGTTTTTTGCTTTGTTTGGTGGACTGTTCTGTGCTAAAGTTGGGGTGTTCAGCCTGGAGAAGAGAAGGCTCCAGGGAGACCTTAGAGCAGCTTCCAGTGCCTGAAGGGGCTCCAGGAAAGCTGGGGAGGGGCTTGGGACAAGGGCAGGGAGGGATGGGATGAGGAGTAATGGCTTTAACTGGAAGAGGGGAGATTTAGGTGAGACATTAAAAGGAAATTCTTTGCTGTGAGGGTGGTGAGACCCTGGCCCAGGTTGCCCAGGGAAGCTGTGGCTGCCCCATCCCTGGCAGTGTGAAGGGCAGGTTGGATGGGGCTTTGAGCAGCCCGGGCTGATGGGAGGGGTCCCTGCCCATGCAGGGGGGTGGATCTAGATGGTCTTGAAGGTTCTTTCCAACTCAAACCAGCCTGTGATTCTATGAAATTCATGTCACAGCTTATCAACACCTGCACCCAACCCTAACAGAACATCTCCATCCCTGGTGATGCCCCATCACATGCAAGAGGTATTTTTATAGCATAAAAAAAATAGCTGCTCTGTTCTAAATAAAGACTCCACATTCCTACTGAGCCCCCAAATCCTGGCGTCTTCTCCAGAGACCCTCCACATTCAACAATCCCCAAGCCCAAGAGCAAGCAGAGGCAGGAAAACACCAAGACCCTCCCACCCAATGTCTTCACCCACATCTCAGAGCCACCAATCGTCTTGGTTGGAAAAGAGATCAAGTCCAACCTTTGCCCAGCCCTGCCAAGGCCACCACTAACCCAAGTCCCTCAGCACCACATCTACAGGGTTTTCAAGCAGCTCCAGGGATGGTGACACCACCCCTGCCCTGGGCAGCCTCGGCCAGAGCCTGATAACCCTTTCCATGAAAAAATGATCCCTAATATCCAACCTGAATCTCCCCCTGGCACAACTTGAGGCCACTTCCTCTTGTTCTATCACTTGTCACTCCGGAGAAGAGACTAACAACCACCTCCCTACAACCTCGTTTCAGGGAGCTGTAGAGAGCAATAAGGTCTCCTGCCTTGGAATTACTTCCTTACAAGATAGAAGGGCCACAACTGATGTTTTATATCTAATAAAGCCCCCTCAGGAAGCTGCAGGTGACAAGTCTGATGGGGCCCAGCATTGACCTGGGACAAAACCTCCCCAAAATCTCCCTGTGCTCCAGCTCAGGTGCTGTTTGAAGCCACACTTAAGCACAAAGCCCCAGATCTCTAAATCCCCAAAGTAGGGATAAACAAGGATGGATTTGAGCTAAGACAGAAGAATTCATCAGAATCCTTGAATCTGAATAAGCTTGAGCTATTTTCTGTCAAGGTTATTTTACTGTCCTGCATTTATTTATTTCTCTTCACACTCCATCTTTCTGGTGTCCTCTGCAAACTGATAACAGCCTCCAACATGAAAATAAACAGGGAAAGGCTCCAGGAAACCTCTCTCCTACACCTGAGGAAAACAACTCCTTGCTTTGGGAGCACTGGGCATTAAGGGGTATTAACAAAAAATGATAGTCCTTGAAAAAAGAAAGGGAATGAAAATATAGAATTAATTTAGTTTCTTTAAAAGTAGAGATATAATATATAATAATAGATATAATATATAATAATAGATATAATAGATAATAATAGATATAATATATAATAATAGATATAATAGATAATAGATAATAATAGATATAACCATAATAGGCTGTGGGTGCTTCTAGGATCCTAAAACAATTCTGGGTAAATGAAATCAGAAAGTCAAAGTTAGGAATAAAGACCCTTCAGATTCTGCAGAAGATTAAGACATTTAAAAACAAATATTCCCTACCAGAATCACATCCACTGAGTATTAACATGTTCATCTTCAGAAAAGGGACCAGAGAAGGTGGGTCAGGAAGACTTGTGGGCTGCCCTGATGATGAGTGGGCTCTGACAGAGGGAACTGCTCGAAAGAGTCCAGCGCAGAGCTACAAAGATGATGAAGGGAGTGGAACATCTCCCTTATGAGGAGAGGCTGAGGGAGCTGGGTCTCTTTAGCTTGGAGAAAAGGAGACTGAGGGGTGACCTCATCAATGTTTACAAATATGTAAGGGGTGAGTGTCAGGGGGATGGAGTTAGGCTTTTCTCAGTGATGACCAGTGATAGGACAAGGGGTAATGGGTGCAAACTGGAGCACAGGAGGTTCAAGGTGAATATCCGAAAAATCCAGAGGTTTCCCTATCTGCATGTGTCAAAGTGGGAAAAGGGGCAAAAATCCTGGAGGAGACCCTGACCACAAACACACAGAGTTTTACTTCTCCTTCGGGGTGTTTCTGGGTAGTAGATTGTGAGGATGCCATTTTTGAGCATCCAGCTTGACACTCAACTCTATGGTGTTGGGATGGTGCTATCCCAAGTGGAATCTTGTAGGCACCCAAAAATGTCATGACTGATCAAGCCAGAGAAAATGTTTCCAGATCTGTTACAGACAACCTATGTTCATTAAACATCTGCAACTGCTGCTGCCTTGTAGCTGACTCCAGCCACATGACACATTCCACACAACTCAACCTTCTTCCTAAAGGGACGTTTCTTGGTCTTACTCACCAGCTACAACTGCACCAAGCACTCAGCACTGAGACTCAGCTGCTGCCCTGATTCCCACCCATAGGTCCTCCCAATCATTCCTACACGAGTCCTCCCAACCACTCCAAGCCTTACTTACTTCAGCTTCTCTTGCCTACTGTATCTTTTTCCCCAAGGCTCTAATCTCATTCAAAACACTGCAGGTCCTTCTTCCAACACTCCAAACAGATTCCTCTGTCCAGGACCTCTCCTGGGTGCCCAATTACACAGAGCTTTCATTTCATTTGAGCTCCTCCTCACCAGCACCTCTCCCTGCCCTCCCTGCAGTCCATATCTTCAAGCATTTCAGCCCATTTCTTTCCCAGCTCATTCCAACCAGACTTACAGCAATTCTTGCTTGAATCCACCTGTCCTTATAATCCTAGAATCATTAAGGTTGGAAAGGACCCTAAAGATCATCCAGTCCCAACCCCCCTGCCATGAGCAAGGAACCACCAGACCAGGTTGCACAAAACCTCATCCAACCTGGCCTTAAAAACCTCCAGGGATGGGGCATCAACAACCTCCCTGGGCAACCCATCCCAGTTCCTCACCACTCTCAGAGTGAAGAATTTCTTCCTAATATCTAACCTAACTCTCCCCTCTCTCAGTTTAAAACCATCACCCCTTGTCCTATCACTATCTTCTCTGATGATGGTCCTTCCCCACCCTCTAACCACACTCCTCCTCTGAAATCCCCCTTTCTACCGTAAATGAACCCATCCCTGTGCTTTGCCTTTCTAACCCAATGACTTCTGTCCCTCTGGACTGAAAGCACCATGTGAGGCAGGCACAGCCCCATGGTGCTCACTGCTGACACAGGCAAGTAAGAATAACTAGAAACTTCTTGCTTTTAGCCAGCCAGGGAAAAGGCAGCAAAAACGTTCCCAAGTTACACATGGAACCATCATACAAAGTCATCAGAAGAAGAACTTCAGAAAAAGCTGCCCAGCTGATTTGGATTTTAACAGCACAAGCTCCACTTCATCTAGGAAAAACCAGTCCAAGAACAACAGGAAGAAAAACAACAATTCATATAAGGATGTATTGATGGGGTGGTACATGCAAAAGAATCATAATTGAATGAAAATCATGGAATCCCAGACTGGTTTCGGTTGGATGATCTGGGATCCATGGGCATGGACATGCCCTGCATGGGCAGGGACACTTCCCATCAGCCCAGGTTGCTCCAAGCCCCATCCAACCTGCCCTTCAACACTGCCAGGGATGGGGCAGCCACAGCTTCCCTGGGCAGCCTGGGCCAGGGTCTCACCACCCTCATAGGGAAGAATTTCCTCCTCATGTCTAAAATGAATCTTCCCTCTTCCAGTTTCAATCCACTCTCCCTCATCCCATCCCTCCCCTGCCCTTGTCCCAAGCCCCTCCCCAGCTTTCCTGGAGCCCCTTCAGGCACTGGAAGGTGCTCTAAGGTCTCTCTGGAGCCTTCTCTCCTCCAGGCTGAACACCCCAACTCTCCCAGCCTGGCTCCAGAGCAGAGCTGCTCCAGCCTCTGAGCATCTTTGTGGCCTCCTCTGGGTCTCATTCCAACAGCTCCATGACCCTCCTGGTTTGGGAACTCCAGAACTGGACATAAAAAGGAAAGCAGCAAAGCCAGGGGTTCAATGTGTCTTTACTAACTTTAGCCTGACCCCACTGCTTCTTCTGGACATGCACGTGCAGGATTCAACTCAGTGGCTGAGCTCTAGCAAGGTGTGGAACTGAACCCTTCTGATGGAGAGAACAACTCATTGTCATCTTCTTCATTTCTAGTTTCAAAGTCCTATGCACACTCATGAAAGAATTTCCAGAATGCCTTTCAAACAGGCAGTCAATGCTGCTATCTCATCTTTGCAGTCAAAAGGGAATAAAAAAGAAACTATCTAACTAGTCTAACACCCCAGATTTGGGCTTAGAACTGGAAACTTTTGGGTTTTAGGCTTTTCTCCCAAGAGAAAGGGAGTCTGGACAGAACTC